CACAGAGGATGAGGGGGGCCCTCTGCTAAATCTTCACTATGTATTTTAGGTTCCTTTTCACTGGTGATGACAAACTAGGTTTGAACAGGTCTATTACATGTTTTAGGATTCAACAGTTGTAATGAGGTGATACTTTTGCTTCAGCAGCTTGCTTACTTCAGCCTCCAAGAGTCTTAGGCAAGGCTCCTGTCCATTGTCTTCATTCATTCTGGGTACCTGTGTGGCTCCAAAGCTGCCTCTCTGCTCGAGACAGGAGGAGGAAAAGGAATAACAAATTCAGTGTGCTGAATTTGTCATCCTCTATTTAATTGTCTGTGCTGTGACCCTAGTTCAATACAGTATTGATGCCAACAACACACTCCTCAGCTTCTACCAGTTTTATGTCTATTAGTCAAACCTTTGGACAGCCACACAGGCCATCCCTGCAACCACTGCTCTCATATTTTTTTCTACTACTTTCATACTGTGATTTGTATTTAATTCAGAATAGTCCTAGCACTTGTGCTACAAATCTTTACATGCTAGCCAAAAAAGCCTGTAATCCAGAGCCTGTAATCCAGGCCCTGCAATCCAGAGCCCTGACACAGCAGTCAGTTTTGTCACCTGGAAACCTCTCTTGTCCTCTGTTCTACCAGCAGCCTGGGTCTTCAGCATGAACCATTTTAGTCTGTCCTTCTGTGTTTGAACGAAGGCTTGCTCTTTCCAGGCCTTAAAATAGGGAGAGGTTTTTAAGAGATTTGAAACTGGAATGTAGGACCCTAAGTCATCATGCATTTTTTTAAAGATGTGCTCTGCATCCATATCATGTTACTGCTCAGCTGCATGGCTTTTCCTAGACTATCTGAAAGTGGATCTGTACTGCTGTGTTCCAAAGGGGGGTTATTTTAATATTGTACTAAAATACTGACAACAAAAACATGTTACTTGAATTAGGCAGTAAGCACTGTCATCCTGGGTCTCAAGATTTTGAGTAAGCAGAGGTTGATTGCTGATGTAATCTTTGTAAATTTTATCATTTTGGAGGTCACAAGATTTATTTGCTGTCAATGCTATTGATGCCTTCCAGATTTAACTGGGCATGTGAAGCCAGGACAACACGCTGCCTGAAAATCAAAAGTTTACAGGGCTTTTTCTGTAAACAGTTCCTTCACAGACCAAGAGGACAAGTTAAACCAGGCTGAGGCATTTTTTTTAGAGGAGACACAGCTACTTAATTAAATCAGAAGCTCTAGAATTTACATAACAGTCCATCTTCAGACCACTTTGCTAATATACATTGGATCAGCAACCTGCTGGCCAGAGGTCAGGCTACAGAATGGTTCAAGACTCATTTCAGCTCCAGTGCTGGATTGCTGAGCATTACAAGACTACAAGACTACACCTCATCTCCCAGCTGAACACCATTTAGTCTTAGGCCAGTTACCAAGGTCTTACAAGGGCCAGATGTCGCAGTGAAGTCACAATTTTTAGCTATTTGTTTTGGTTTCCAAATCAAGCAAGAGAAGTCCTGATTTTTGGAAGCAAGCAAGCAGTCTGGCCACCCTTTCCATACAGAATGCTGTCATCTCTACCTGCTCAGCAAGACACTGCAGGTGGGAGGCTATCCCCAGATCTTGCTTTCCTGGCCCACCACAGCTCTCAGCAGTCACTTTCCAGCAAGGCTGACTAACAGATAAAACAATTCATCCCATAGAATGGGCAGAATCGATCCCTATTGTTGGTATTATCATCTAGTATTCATTCCAGGATTGAAAGTACCCAGGGTGCCACAGGGTGCATCCCAGAAAGTGTTCCTTTGTCTTGGGCTGTAACTTGTTGGGGATCTGCAGTGGCAGATGTGCCAGCATAACTTAGAGAAGCTCTTTTAGCCCATACCTTGGCCTTCTATGAGAAACCCGACCAAGGAGACACAAAGATGCAAAGGTGATCCAAAAGGCGATAGAAAAGGCAGCTCTGCACCCTCCTGCCTCAGCCCATGAAACCACCCAATGCTGGTTTGCCTGCTGATGGACAACTGTATTCTGGTTTCCCTCCTAGGACATTGATCGTGAGGAAACTGCAAAGTTACACTAGCAGCGCATTAAAGGACAAAAATTGTCCTGCAGTCTAAATTCTCCTGAGGGAAAGAAAAAGTCAATAGGAAAGAAAATATTACAATGCATATTTCAAAGACAGTGATAGAACTGAGATTAGGCAATGTTTCTAGGACTCACATGCATTGGGAGTGGGCCGGTGTTCAGACTGTAGCATAAGACGACCTAGGATATCAGTGCTCCATCCCTATACCAGTGCTTCCTGGACTTTGCTTCCCACCAGTTCTGCCCTCTCACAAAGACTGTAGCTTGTTCTGGTTTGGTTTGGTGGGGGTTTTGGTAGTGGGGGAAGGGCCCCAGGAGTGGCTCCAGTAAGAAGCTGAGAAGCTGCCCCTGCTTGAAAACCAGTGAAGGAGCCATCAGAGGGACAAGAGATGCGCCTCTGTGATTAACAAACAAAAGAAGGGATAACACCTGAGCAGAGAAGAGCTGTGCTGGAGGAGGAGAGCGGTGCTGGTGGTTGGTGAGGAAGAAGGGGAAGAAGGTGCCCAAACAGAGGTTTCCCTTCAAACCATGGCAAGATGGCAGCTGTGCCCCTGCACTCATGGAGGAACATGGTGGAACATTCCCTGAAGGTGCCAGGAGGGGTGAACTTGGCCAGTGGACTTTTATTTTGTGGCCAGAGGATTTGCTACCAGTGGACTCTGATTGCGCAGCTTTGGAAGACCCCGGCGCCAGGGGAGGTGGCTGTTCCCGAATCCCCCGTGACTCTGTGGGAAGCCCATCCTTCTTGCGGGGGAGGCAGGAGCAGCAGGAACCCCCAGCCTGTGAAGTGACTCTGAACCCCATCCCCTGTCCCCCTGTGCCGCTGGGGGGAAGGAGGGAGAGAAACCGGGAACCAAGGGATTGGGGCCCGGGAAGAAGGGAGGGGTGGGGTAACATCTGCAAGCCCTGCTCTGGGTGTGTCTGTATCCGGGGGGGGTGTGATTAGGGTGAAATTACATTATTATTTTTCCCCAAGTTGAGTCTGTTTTGCCCGGGACCTTAATCAGTGAAGATCCCTCCTTGCCCTTTGTCTTGACCCAGGAGCTTCTGGTTGGGTTTGTCCTCCCCATCCCAGAGTGTGTGTGTGAGGGGGGGAGTTGGGTGAGCGGCCTTGGGGCTGTTCCTTCGCTGTCGTGTCAGGCCCAGACCACGACAAGCTCTGATGAGGTGGTGTAAATACTAGAATTATTCCTTCCTAACAATTATATCTGTACTTTGCATAGCTGAAAAATCGTGAGATGAAATAGAAGGTAGGAGAGAGGGCCTGAAAATCTTTGTTGTGAGTAAAAGGCAAGAAGATGCTCTGAGTGCTGTTTCAACAAACGCAAAGAGGCTTTGAAATGCCACCTGGCCCAAGCTGGTGTCTAGTCCACTGGTTCCCAAACGTTTTATAGCTGACTCTCTTCTAACAGAATAATCAGCATTTTTTATGTCACTGAATCTAACTGCTCGCCTGACTCAAGGCTGCCATCATCTCCCCTTGGCTTCTCCTGGAGTGTCTATAGTAGCCAAGGCCTCACATTACACCCCTGATAATGTGAAACTTCATGTCAGACCAGGCGTGCTCAGTTCCATTACACTTCCAGGCATTCTCCTTACTAACATGCATGCATCTCAAATGACATAGACCACGCAAGTTCTGTGGTGTAGGAAGCTGATAGAGACATTGGCAAAAATATCTGCATGAATCTCAGCCATTTCCCTCCCTCTGTTAATAAGTCCAGTGAAAATAACTAAAATAAAAGTCTAATCTCTCGCACTCCAAAAATGCTGGAACAGCATCAGTGCAAATGGAAGGAGAGAAAAATTAAGATGTTAATAAATTATTACTAAACAAGAGAATATCTGGGCTTGGGGAAAATAGACAGTGACACAGTAGGGAGGTGTGGCCATTTCCCTTTTCCCTCTTATTTAATGTATTATCAGTGCCCTTGTCTTGCAAACACAAATACAGCTGCACCCCTGCAAGAGGCACACACCCTCCCCAAATAAATGTGATCATTTCGAAGTCACCTCAGTGAAAAACATGAACATTTAAGAACATATCAATGTCCCCAGCTGTGTGTAGCAGCAACATCAGTGCTCCGTTCTTCATGGTCTGCCCAGAAGAATTGCTGCTGCAAGCAGCAGAAGTGTGATTGTATAAAAACAGCAGGAGCAAGCCCTGGGGCTTCTTCTCCCTTTTATCATGGCTTACCCCTCTGTTAACCAGCCAGAAGCTCTCCTTTGAGAGGTACAGACAAACTGGTAAGAGGATAGGCTGCTATAGTAAGAGGTGCCTTGGATTTGCTGGGTATATACCAAAAAAAAGCAATGGCAACTTCAAGCCAAATCTCCTCAAATATTGACCTGCCCTCATGTACAGCCAATGATCCTGCCACCAAGGAAGTGACTGCAAAATTTTCATTGCTCGCTGATGAGGTCCAGAACTGTTTTTACACCTTCTTTTCTAAATAAGGGAGCTGCCTGTGAGGCCTCTGACTGCCTGGCCAATTTGACTCCTCTGCTTTCAGCAGCCAATGAAACCCCACTCCTACCTCCAGTCTTGGGTGACAGCATTCATCAGAGCTCAGCCAGCAGGTTAGTGTTACAGCCGTGGCAGGCTTACCTTTGGAAAGCTGTTGATGTCAGAGTGATGATGTGGGGAGGGACAGTCTCTGCACTATAAAGATGGGTCAATCCAATATAAACTGGGGCTGACCAGCGGAGAGAAGGATCTACAAAACATGGTCCCCGCCAGTTTGAGTCCTGCTGGCCTGTCTCTGCTTCCAACCCAACTGCTATTGGGCTTCAGTTTCATGTCAGCAATCTCTATTTGCTTTCCAAAAATAAGCCTCTGCCACCATGCTGGAGAGAGAAAAACTAGAAGGGCGGTATTTTTAGGGCCATTAATTCTGACCACGTGCCCGGGGGGTGAACCGGATGGCCAGTGCACAAAGACTTCTCATCACTATGTTCTGCAAAGCCAGCGCTCACCGGACGTTGCCTGCCCTCCTTCTCCTGGCTTTTCTTGCTGGGATTGCTTCAGCACATCCCGTTGTAAGCAGAACCAATGGCACATTACTGGAAAGAGGATGGCAATCCCTGTTGTCCAGGTCCATTGCTGGGATGTCAGGGGACAAATCAGATGTGAACTGGGAGAGTGACTATTTGCTAGGCATCAAGAGGCAGCGGAGGCTTTACTGCAACGTGGGCATCGGGTTTCACCTTCAGATCCTCCCAGATGGAAGGATAAGTGGAGTTCACAATGAAAACCAATACAGTGAGTTGCATCCAGAAATGAAATGGAATAGATGTCACTTGATTGCTGTGAACTCGCGTAATTACCCTGCAGAGAATGCAAATGTTATTACTTGATATTATTAATCCGTGCTACATCTGTTGCCTTCTAAAAGTCTCTGGGATCAATAAACATTTGAATCCTTCAGGCTGAAGCATGTCACAAGTGCTAAGACAAATTTAGGTACAATTTATTTTTACTCTGCTTTACCGCAGAGATGAGAAAAGACAAATCAGGGTGAAAACTCTCTGCTGCATTTGCTCACTCCTGTGATCTTTTCATTGAATTTGAGAGTTGTTGCTGAGCTCAGAGTGCATGATTTTTTAATATTAATAGAGTAGTACTTTTGGGACAGTCAGTCATGGAAGGGGCTTGCTCTTCTTGGTTTGCTTTCTCTTGTGGGTACTGTTCCATAGCTGTAAGATTAAAAGAAAAAACATCCCTATGGATTTGAATTTCCTGTACAGGGTTGTTACTAAAATCTTTTGCAGCTAGGATATCATAGGGGACTTCAAAATGCAAGCCACTTTTCTCTAAAACTCAGTAACAAGCACTCTGTAATTGTAGCATATTTAAAAAAATAAATAAATTACTTATTAGAAAGCCCAAGAATTTGACAGATCAAAAAAGTCTGTCAGAACAAAAGGATTATATAGCATGTGGCTACAATTCCAGAATTATTTTAAAATCCCATAGCATGTAGGGGGAAAAAAAAAAAAAAAAAAAAAAAAGGATATTTTCTGTGTGCTTTTATTATAATGGACTAAGGAGATAATTCTAATAATGAAAATGTGACATGTTCATTAGGGTTTAAAGTAAATCAATTATATCTGAGTTGCCCTTGATGAGCTAAAAATTCTGTGATGACATTTTATCGAACTTCTTATCTTCCAGGTCTCTTTGAAATATCCACTGTAAAGAGAGGTGTTGTTAGTCTTTTTGGTGTGAAAAGTGCTCTCTTCATTGCAATGAACAACAAGGGAAAGCTATATGGAACAGTGAGTATGTGCAAATAGATTTTCAAGGCTTAAGCAAAGGCTGCAATGGTTTTGCTTGTTTGTTTGTTTGTTTGTTTGTTTGTTTGTTTGTTTGTTTTACCTCCTGGAAACCTCTGATTACAAGCAGAGAAAATAGCTTTTCAATTACAAGGAGCCTGCCCAGTCACCAGTGTTATTCAGTGCAACAAGCAACGTGGCTGTTAAAGGTCTGTTATTTTAAAACTCTCCTCGGGGAGCAGCCTTGGAAAATCAATGTATTCTGCAAATAGTATGGGTTAAATATATGGCCTCTTCTAAGGGCTGAAAATACATTCTAGTAAGATTGAAAACTGTTGATTCTCTTTTGCATTGCATTATTGGAAAAGCAAAAGGGTGTGCTCTGGAAAAAAAGCCCTAGGAGGTAAAGTGTGTGTATGTCCCTGAGCATGTGTGTGTGTGATTGCACACACATGCATGTGCCTGCAGATGAGTGTAGGAGAGGGACAATTACCTATACTAGCTACCATTAGAAAAATCTTGACCACAGGTCTCCCCCTACCAAAAAAGATCCCACTATGAAGAATAAATAGGAAGTCTACCCTACAAAGTCAGCATATGTGTCTGGGGTTATTTTAAGGACCAGCTTTGTGAGATCAGTCCCAAAGGGTGAGAAAACAGTAATGGCTATTAACAGTGGTGTGCAAGTCATACTGAAACACTCCACCATCATTCTCCTCAAAGTGCTAGCTGTGCCATCTAAATGCAATTGAAACTCTGAGCAAGGCACTTCCAGCCTGAACGTTCAGGTGCTTGTTAGGAAGCATGTTTGAAAGAGGCTGGCTCTGAGCCAAAACGGTGCATCTCAAAGTAATGAGTGGCACTGATTGACTTCATCTTCTGGTGTCAAGAAACAGCAAAGCCATTTCCTTTGAAACAGCCCTAAATGCAACAAAGCATTTCGGTTACTTAATAAAACACCAAATGTTGTGAAGGACAAGGACCGTAGCCATTCCTAATCCAACAGATTCCTTCTCACACAGAGGGGGATATTTTAAGGTTCAAGTCTGATTTCAAGCGCCTAAAAAGCACCACAAGCCCAGCTGCTTTGCTTGACCAGGTCTTTCTAAAGAAATGCAGGGACTGACTTCAGAGCTGCCTTTGATTTTTTTTTTCCTGGTTCAATCAGTCTTGCTTATTTTCCAAGATATTTTTAAAAGCTGTAAGAGATGTGATTTTTTTTCTTTCACAATGCAATTGCTAAGTTAAGTTCTTACAAATTTTGAATAGTGTCTTACAAATTTTGGCCAAAGATGTCCAAATGGAACAGCAGTGGTGTTGTCTCATGTGCCAGGCATTTGATGTCAGGGAATTATTCTACGTTCTCTTTTAATTTCCTCAGTGCTCTGTGTTTTTCTTCTGATTTTCCTTGCATCTCCTCTCACAGATAGTTTGCTCACATTGCATTTATGTGATTCAATATGAAGAAATATAAACCTTTCCTGCTGCATGTCTCACTATCAGTTAAATATAATATCAGTAATGACTTAAAAAAAAAATAAAAGAAGAAATTTAGGCATCTTTTTCAAATGCCTTATTCAAGCAAATAGCTTGAATCTCCCTGGACACTGCTGTTTGGAAGAGAATTGAAAGTTTTGACAGCCAGCATATCATTCTCTTATAAATCTCTTGCAGAGGAGAGGTGTGAAATAAAGGTACATCATTTGGGCAAAAGGGTATGATGCTGACCAAAACCATTGCTTGCAAATAAAATTATGAAATCCTTTATTTATGATAAATTGACTTGATCTGTCACAGGAAGCACACAGTCCATTATCTGGACAGATGGCATCTGAGTTCATCTGACACCAAAGTAGCAGTGAGGGGTGAGATTTATTGTTGGATGCAGTCACTCTGACAACACCTGTTGCATGCTGCAACAAGTTCTTCTGTAAAAATGCCCATAAGAAAAATGGCACTTATATTCATTTAAGTATTTATTTATTTATTGCTCCTCCATTGTCCTCCCCCCACCCCCCTTCCTATTCTTTAGGCTGTTTTCCAAGATGAGTGCAAATTCAAAGAAACCTTGCTGCCCAATAACTACAATGCATATGAATCAAATGCTTACTGTGGTGCTTACATTGCACTCAGCAAACATGGGAGGGTGAAGAGAGGAAACAAGGTTTCTCCTGCTATGACAGTAACCCACTTTTTACCAAGAATATGAACGTGAGTGAAGTAGAAGATTAAATCCCAGGAAAAAACTGTTTCATTTTGCACATGGGAATGATCTCCCAGGTAAAGTATTTATACTGTTCATTGAAAAAAAAAAAATCATCTACATATGTATGTGTATATTTGGATAAAATATTTGTTATAGATTCATCACATAGCATATGTAATATGATGCTGCTTCTCTTATACTCTGTACAAATTTTACACAGCTGTGTGCCTCCTTTGGTGCTTAACAGAGAAAAATCCAAGCTGGAGAGCAATGGGAAAAAAGGATTTGGAAGATAAAGAATGGCTGTGGATAATAATCTAGTTAATCATAGGTTATTTATTAATTAACATTAATTACCTCAGATAATAAAATTTCTTAGAGAGCTGTTTACATATCATGGGCCAAATCATCACATGACTGTGCTTCACCAGAACTTCAAGCAGTTCACTCCAGCTGAGTATCTGCCTGCATGTCCCCTTCTACACACTGTGTCCAGTCTTGTAAAGTCCTAAATCTGTTTTGATCATTAGGGTGCCAATTCCACAACCATTTCTACACAAGTAAACTGGCTACCCCCAGAGCCCCTCTGACTGAAGGGATTATCCAGGGTCTCCTCACATGGACTTGTTGGCAAAATGAAGACTTACAAGCAGTTTTCCTTAGGAAGGGCCCTAGGTTAAATCACAGCTGGACCCCAAATGAAAAATATATTTGGAGCTTAGGATTTTAAATATCACCCCCTTGGCATTTTGAGAGCTTGGTTTAGACTAAATATAGATGTGTATATCTTTAATATAAATACATGTGTGTATATATAGCCATGATATGTGTAAGCATGTAGCCATGCAAGTGCATACTTTGAATCAATAGGTCATCCCAGTCTCTAGATGTCCAAGTGCCTTTATATGTGTACACACATAAAAGAACACACATATTTAAAGGCACTGTGTTTTGTTCAGGTAGAATCTTGATAATCTGTAAGAACTAGAACTGGTCTCCAGGATGCATTTTATAAAATGCCTGAAATTTATTACAGCTTCCTGCAAAGGATTATTTTAGAAAACTTAATTTATTCTATTTTCTGCTTGAAGTGTATTTGGTTCTTTATCATGCCTCACTGAGGTATGATGAGGACAGAGGATTAAGGTTTATACATGCACGTCTTCCTGGGTTGAAACAGAGGAATTTATACTATAATTCCAATTTCTATCACTTGCAAAGCACTGGTTTCAAAGAGAACACAGCAAGCTGTATGAAATACTCTCCAAAGCTCTCCTAGAAGCCTTGCATAGGGTGCATAACCTTGCTTCACTATTTTGACAACCTTTTTCCAGATCGCCAATGAAGCTACATTCTCTGTGCCTTTGAAAGAGTATTTTAAGAGGCCCTAAGTCAATAGTCACTATAAATGTCAGTTATGAGGAGCCTTGGGATTCCTGAATTGATGGCCTGCTCCTAAATTTGAAATTAGATTCAATGCAATGTCAGAGCACGAGCATTTTCAGCATAGATGGACCATGTTGGTGCAGAAGTGAACATCTGAGTGCAAGATTATCTCCCACATCCAGCCAAAATGTGGCTGTGTCCAGCCTTGACATGCCATTCTATTTGCAGGGGATGTCTATTCATGATGAATTTGAGCCTTCTGATACGCTTGAAAAACAGTGTCAGGGCCAGATCCTCAGCTGGAGTGAACCAGTCTAGTAAGACAACTAGTTTATAGCTGCAGAAGGTTTGGCCCAAAGAGCACATCTACAAGGATGCATCTACAGTCCCACTTTCTGAAAAATTACAAGGACAACTGGTTTGTGAACAAGAGTCAGTTTTCCAGTTCCTTTTGTGTGATTTATACTTGAATGTATTTTGCTCAAATCCAAGTGATGACAACAGTGTAAATTAAGAGGGGAAAAAGAAAAAAACAAACCAAAAAGAAAAGAGTGGAATACAGCTTACAGGACACGAGTGGGACACTTTGGACATGGCAAAGGGAAGTTGTTACTCTGCATTTTCTGGTCTTGTAGTATGTGGAGAAAAGCCAAGCTGGCACACCTCATTCATCCACAGTGTGTACAGCAGCTTGATTTGAAAATATGTGAATTTGATGAGAAAAAGCAGGATGTTTTGAGGGGGGGGAGTGGGTCAGAAGAAGGTTTGGAAGATGTCAGACAGTTACATTGACATAAAGTCCGTCAAGGTACAGACGGGAAGACAGTTGTGTTGAAATACATTAGCTGGCAACTTGTATCCTTGTGGTATATTCCTAATGGTCTTTGAAATGAAGTTTGAAAAAGAATGGAAGAGTACATGGACATAGAAGAAGTCACAGTTTGAATGCTGACACACAAGTTTGTTTCTGAGTATCCTTAGGATAGGATGAAGTTGGTTCCCTCTTAAGCCAGTGTAGTCTAGAACAATTCATTGTTGCCAGTACTCATAAATTATAGGATAACTGGCATAAACTGAGAATCAGACTTGCTGACTCCATTTTGCACATACTGGTCAACAGTGAGAACAAACCATAGACCAGGTCACAAGAAGTGTTTGGAAGCAGCCTGCTAGGTTGAGCTTGTTCTTAAGAACCTCAGACCCTTGCAGAGGCAGTTTTGATGGGCATTTGAAAAGCCCCCTCAGTTACTCTGCTGTGTTACTCTTTGCACCTCTGTTTTTCCTTATTATATATCAATGCCAGCCAGATTAACACTGAGTTCAATATTTAAATCAAAAAGGGTCTCCCAGGGCGAGGAATCCTGACTAATATGAATTGTGTCATTGTCAGAAGTGAAAATGAAAGATGACATTGTCAGGAGTTATAATTGTGCCAGGAAACCCCTCCAGCACAAACAGTGGAGCACTGAAGTCTTGTGGAGTTTTAGACTAGATGGATGTGATACTTTGAGAAAGAAACTTCTTAAGTGAATTTGATGGCTACATTCAAAAGAGGAATCAAGGCACTTGTTGACACATTGCTACAGACCTGCAAGCAGTCTAGGGGCAGCTCACAGTAGCAGAACGTACTTTGGCAAGTGTGCAAGAAGTTCTGTAACATGCTTGGGAAATAGCCTGATTAGCACAGGAGAAGGAGGGTCTAGGCAGACCACCACCCATTCTGCACACAGCAGGATGATACTGTTGAGCTGGCACAGAGGAAAAATGAAAAAGAAAAAAATCTGTAATGAGAATGTACATGATACAGAGCCTGTGGAGAGAATATGGGCATGGTCTGGTGAACTCTGAAATGTCGCTTTCTTTGAAAGGATATTTCCATGGGTATGTGACTACATACAGGAAACTCATGAAAGCAAAAGTTTCCCAAATGAGAGACAAATTAGGAATGTATTAGTGACAGTTCTTGCAGTGGTCCCTTTGAAAGCTTCTCTCATGATCTCACTGAGTCATTAAACGGGCCACAAGCTTTGAAAGCATTGATGTGAGTGTCCCACACCAGCCTGTCTTGCCCGTATTTCACACACGGGATTCTCCTGTGGAGTTGATACCTATTTTAAAGGTTTCTTCTTCTATAGGCAAATTACATAATAATTTAAGCTCTAATCCACCTCAATTAGAAAACAGTCGTGACTGGAAAAGTATCATGTACTTAAACAATCTAAGTTTCCCCAGCCATGCAGAGATGCAGACACACACAATGGAAAAGCAGAGTAATTTTTGTATACCTCACTAACTATTGCAATTCCAAGGTTTTATTTTGCACAGTAAATAGTGCTGAAGTTCTCACATTTATTTATTTTTTTCACTACAATATACCTCATATTCTGACTCAATATGGACTCACAATTGAGGCTGTAAATTTGCCAAAAATACCAAACTGTCCAATCAATTGTTTGTGAAATTGCTTCTATTTTTATATGTATGTGCTGCGCACAATAGTTTAATGTATTCATGAAATAAACTTTTATATGTTTTTCATAGTGTTTGACTCCAAATCCCTTTACCATTTTTTTTCCTTTCCTCAGACCACTGTATTAACACCATCCCACCCCCAGCACACACCGTTTTTATTCATCTCTAGAAATAGAGAGGATGTATTGATACACTTAAAATTGTGATATAATTTCATGTTCTTCAGACTTCATGCCTGGGAAGTCATAAGAGAGTTGTACTTGTTATAGAGAATCTGGGAGTTTCATAGAAGAGAAGGAAAATAAAACTGAAATCTGATTAAAGATGAGCTGTCATAGTCACCTGTCTAAAATCCAGTGTTTTTTACCTGGGGAGGTTTCAGAGCTGTTCTGCTCTTGGTAATGCTCTTCAGCGTGTAACTGCCAGTGCATATCCCTCACCTTATTAAATAAGAAATTTGGGGGTTTGTTGGGTTTGTGGTTTTTGTTTGGTTGGTTTGGGTGGTTTTTTTTTTTTAATGGTGTTTTCTTCTTGCCTGGGACTCATTTGGGAGGGCAGCTTCCTGGAACCTCCCCAGAAAGCTGGGGAGGGACTTTTTACAAGGGCATGTTAGTAAGACAACTAGGGATAATGGCTTGCAACTGGAAGAGGGGAGATTTAGGTTAGACATTAGGAAGAAATTCTTCACTGTGAGGGTGGTAAGACACTGGAACAGGTTGTCCAGAGATGCTGTGGATGCCTCCTCCCTGGAAGTGTTCAAGGCCAGGTTGGATGGGGCTTTGAGCAGCCTGGTCTGGTGGGACGTGCCCCTTCCCATGCAAGGGTTTGGAACTACATGCTCTTTAAGGTCCCTTCCAACCCAAACCACTCTACGATTCTGTGATCTCAGGGGCATGTTGCCTCACTGTGCCTTGAAGTTGAAAACTCTGGAAACTGTTACATTTCAGTAATTTGGTTATATTTTATTTCCATCCCTCCACTCCCACGCTGTCACTTATTCCTTCTGTTACGTGCCTGCAGACCTCTTTTAGTCTGGGGACCCAAACTAAAGTGGGTTTAGAAACCAATAGTTGAGAATCTGACCCCTGCTTTTTTGTTCAAGTTGCTTAACCCATACCAGCATGATACTGCCGAGCAGACAGGTT